TCCTATTTTTTTTGGGTTTCTATTGTTAGTTTGCAAAAGGGCACCTCCCCGGCCCAAGTTGTGCTTTTTTCCCCATCAATAAACGGCCACCTGTTTTTGAATTGCAATCTGCCTCTGTCTCAATTTTCCCCCTTCCACTTGATCCTCATTCGAACCTGTATTGGTCTCGGACAGTATGCATGCGTGCTTCTAAATATACCACATTGTTTCTGTCCTTAAAAATATGCTTTCTTATTTACAGTATTGGATGGTCCAAATAAACCATCATTAATCATGCACTCAGTATAGTGGCGACAAACAGTCTGTTTTTGACCACGTAGTTAGTTACTAGTTAAAAGCTGTTGCAAACAGCTTTTATTTGCATGGAAGAAAATCAGCTTCAAGTAACTGCTTGCAATAATTTGCAGGAACCTGCTTGTGCAATCCAGATTCTGCAAGAACACCACGTACAGTTTGCTTCACACATCAGGAAGAATGTACCATTCTGTGTAAGATACAAAGTGATTCCTCCTAGACATGGCTCCAGTTAAACACAGAAATGATACTACATTTACAATATAATGCAAAATTGGAAGTGACTGCCAGAACTTCAGCTGTTGTAAATTGGTATAGTCCATGAAACTATACTGGTTTACAAAAGTTATGGAACTAAACCTGGAAATTGGGTGTGTTACATTACACAATAGGACTGTATGTTGGTTTGCTCAATCTGGCTATTTTTGAAGAGTAACTTATCATATTAATAATAAGCAGCAGCAGTTTGAGGATTTCTTATCCAGTTTCAGAGCTATGTTAATTAGTGCATTTGTTCAATGTGTTATGTTGGGTTTTCTCCTTTATTCCGAAATCTTAAATATTCATGAATGCCTACTGTTGATGTTGCCAGGAGTTATATGTTCATAACCAAGATCAGAATTTGTCCTTATATGTATTATATTATGATTGCATTAGGTTGTTACAAAATAAAGTATAAGAAAAATGCTATTTTATTATCAATTTTCTATTTATTTGTATAAAAAAAGACAATGAATGGTACATAAATGGCTTACAATTTGTATGTTCCTGAATACTGCATGCTTCATGGGTTTTCCATGCCATTTTACAGTGCAAAGATGCAAGACTAGACAATATAAAACCAACCAGAGAATGCATTGATGTAACACATTAAATTCCATGAAAATTTTCAACAAAACAAGAAATAGAATACATTTAAGTTAGAGCCGGGCAGGAAATGTATCCTTCTACAACAAAATTAGGTAGCAGGCCAGAGACTTAATGCGAAAATGTAGAAGAGATTCTTCACTATCCACACATCATTCATCACTGTAAGAGATGTACGGCGCCAAGGATTTGAGGAGGGGGAAGCAGCCAAATCGAGCCCAATAACCCAACATGCAAAGAGCTTTGTTTGCAAATTAGGAATTAGAATGCTGAGAGAAAGCAAGTCCAGGACAATCCTTGAGATTCATATCAGAGGCCATTCAGATTTGATGTCATCATCTGAAGATATGTTTGTCTGATAAAGTGCCCATTTGTTCTAAGTTACGCAGGCAGTTAATATTAATTTAAACACAAGAAAACAATGAAAAATATCATTTGCAGAAAATAAACCAGTAAATCTGCCAGTTGACCACACATGTGCAGTGGATGTAAAATTCTGGAAAAATTCCAGCAGCTGTAAAGCTTCTAAAATTCTTCTCTCTTGCTCTCTCTCTCTCCTCTCATTACCAAGCATCTGTCTGGTAGATGTCACCCAACAAGTTGTTTATTTAGCTCCTGATCTTCAGATAACTGTCAGCATTTTAAATAGAGTTTTCAACTTCTCTCTTTTACTAGCATTATCTGTTGCTAATGTAAAGTTTAATACTGCTTTTATTCCTAACTTGGAGCCCTATCCTGAAAATACTTCATTTTACTTGTGTGAAAGGGTTTGCAGGACTGGAGCCTATAGCTTTTTAACTCTGCCCCTTCCCTATATACCTCAGAGCCAAAATCAGGAAAAACAAGTTAGCTTTAGGTCCAGAGAAACCTGTACGTATTAAAAAAGGGGGGGGGGGCATTAAGTCTACACTTAATACTATCATTTGAGCAAGAATTTACCAATCATGGGATGGTACAGAAAAACCATCTGACAAGTTATGTTTTGAAAACACAACAGAGCTTGCTGGTTTGACTTGGCTGTGGCCATCAAATATGGCAGTATGTGTGTGTGTGTAAACTGAATATCATTTCTATATGAGAAACTGTTATCAGACCCTGTAATAGCATCTTTGTAACATAGCAATGAATGATTATTGCAAAGCTACATTTTACTTTTTATTGGTCCTATCTAGAACATGACTACAGCTAAAATAAATTCTCTAATGTATTTTTGCTTATCAGATTTGTGTACAATAACAGTGTGTCATGGCATAAATTGATGTAACTCCATTGAAGTGAAGGAAACTACACAGATTTTTTTTACCAGCTGAGGATCTGGGACATTGTGACTAAAGGTATTTAAATAAATCTTTTGCTGTATTAGACTGTTCTTGTGAATGAAACCGCTGATCTCCACTTGGCTGTGACTCAAGCCCTTTTATTTGCTGACTGGGGAATATTTAACTGAGTGTAAGTTCTAGCAAATCTTAGTGAGAGTGGTCATGCTGGAGGTGCCCTAGTTGCCATTTTGCAAGCACTTTGTAGTTAGAAGCGGGAAAAAAAAGAGGTTTCTGCAGAT